CCCGCGCTGCGGGGAGCAGGGGGCAGCCCCGGGCACGGCCCTGCCCCGGCGCCCCGCGCAGCGCCTGCCCCCGCTCCTCGCTGGTCGCGACTGACAGTGTGACACCGCAGGGTCCCGGGGGCGGCGACCCGGGGAGGGGAAGGATACTCGCCCGTGCCAATGTGAGCCGGGCCAGGGCGGCTGTGCCCCCAGGAGCGGGGGGCAGGGGGCGCTGGGAGCCAGGATGGCAGGCAGGCGCCCCCCTCCCCCCCCATGAAGGCTCACCCCAAGACGCCTTGGGCCGCCCACCTGCCTCGCGGATCACTTCAGCTTCGTAGCCCAGACAGAAAGGGGGCCTGAAAACAGTGAAAGTGTAGGAAACACATAGGGGGGCATGTGCCCCCACCCCCGAGAGTGCTGGTGCCCCCCCCAACAGCAGGCGCTCTGGATGGTAGGGGGCACAGAGAGTGCATGTGCCCCCCCCCCAATTGACTCTGCCATGCTGCATGCAAAAGTGCTGGCACTTCAGCTGCCGTGCCACCCGCACGCTCAGCAACCAGCCACTCACTCCAGCTGGCCACTGTGGGACCCACCCCCTGGTTGTGCCTGCGCAGACTCAGGAGGCACCAGTTGCCCATGGGTGAAAATAATAATTATTGTTATCATTATCTCTGGTAAAGGAGGGCTGATGCTAAAAGTTCACCCAGGGCTGCCAGGAGTCTAGGTACAGTGTTGCCAACAGGGCCCAGGGCAGACTTCAATTCTATGTAGGTGGGTACAAGTTAGTGGAGGACTGAAGGCCATGGGGCACCATCTCACTTGACACAGAGAGCCCCGATTCTCAGCCGGGGTCCGTCAGGAGCCCTGATTCTCAGCCAAGTGTCCCAACACCTTGGGGTGCCTCGAGAGCCTTTCAAAGGTGTGGCAGGGCTGCTGCACAGGTTCTGTGCTGGTTGCTGTACAAGCACGGCGCATGAGATAAACCCAGGGATTCCCAATAGACTTGCTCTGGGCTTTTTGAGTGCTTTACAAACAGAAGAATCACCCTATTATTTTTCCATAGTCAAAAATAGAGCAAAAACTATGCTGTTTTCCAGTTGGTGTCTCTAGTCCTTGAGAGAATGGAAGGGTGCCTTGAGTCTAGAAAGGTTGAGAAGCACTGACCTAGAGAAACAACATTTTTCAGGAGTGCCTTGAGTGTAACAATGGATGCCTTGCAATTACTGAGGGGTTCCTTGATTCCATTTTCTCTCTTTGCAAGTTGTTTCTAACCCCCATGTAGGATGACGGCGTTCTATGCTTTGCTTCTTAGGGAAAAGGCTTAACCAAAAAGTGCTCGCGTAAGGAGTTTGATTGTTTCACACATGATCCAGTCCTGCAAAGACTCAAGTACACATATCACTTATCGTATGAACAGGCTTACGTTTGTATATAAGCCTTTGTCAGATCAGGCCCATAATTAGTTGTTCCTGGCAAGTTACACCCTCCAGTATACATACAAGTCTAATGATATCAGTAGGAGTTGCCTGTATCCTTATGTGATGCTACCCAGGCCACTATATAATAAGCACTGTTAAATCAGTAACAACATTTACCATACATTTGCTTCATTATTTGTTGTATTTGATATACTCAGAATGGGAAAGACTGCAAATGCTGTGGTAAATGTAACCCCTGTGAGTTGTAAATTCCTTTTTTTCCTACAGGATGAAGTTCAGTGCAGACAAATGCAAGGTGCTACACAGTAGGAGGAATAATCAAAAACAAATATAAAATGGGTGACACCTGGATGGATGGCAGATCTGTGGAAAAGTACTTGGAAGTTTTGGTAGACCACAGACTGAATATGAGTCTGCCGTGTGAAGCAGCTGCACAAAAGGCAAATGTGGTTTTGGGATGCATCAGTGGAAGCATTAGGTGCAAGACACAGGAGGTGATAGTGCCTCTATACTCAGCACTAGTTAGGCCTCATCTGGAGTAGTGTGTGCAGTTCTGAGTTCTACATTTAAAGAAGGTTAGAAAGGAATTTTACCCCATGGTCAGATTGATTTCCTTTGTGAGGAGTTTTGCCTTCCTCTGTAGTTGGGGGGGGGGGGATGCATGTAGCTCTCTACCTGGGATCTATTGAGCATATATTGACAACATTTCGTAGAAACAGGACGTTAGCTGCTGTAGCTCCCATGCTTTACCTGTGGCTAGTTAGGGTGTTAGGTCTGTGTGTGCCGGGGTTGTGGGGAGTCTGATGTAGAGTTTGTATTGTATTGGATTGTATTGGAAGACTTGGATAAGGATGATCCTGCCTTAGGCAGGGGTTAGGACTAGATGAGTGGTTTTCAACCTTATTTCATTTGCAGACCCCTAAAAAATTTAAAATGGAAGTGCAGACCCCTTTGGAAATTTCAAATAGGGGTGCAGACCCCTTTGAATTGTAAGTGTGGCTGTTCACATACTTTTGATTGATCATAGTCTTCTTTTGCAGACTCCTTAGATATAAGTTGCCAGACATCTGTGGGCCACAGGTTAAAAACCACTAGACTAAATGACATCTGGAGGTCCTTTCCAGCTCTACTTCTTTGTGATTCTATGATTATTACCTGATGACGTACAATAAAATAATGCAAAGGACATCAATGCTTATATATATAGATATATAGTGTATTTATTGTTCAGTTGTGTTCTTGGATCTATCCAGGAGGTGAAGAATACTCTGTTCTAACCTAAATGAACAATACAGTTTAAACTCCTAAGCGTATTAAAAATGAATTAATAAATTCTTTTTTCCACCTACATCCCAGTCCAGTAGAGCTGTGACTGATGCTTTTGATACTATTTTTATGCATCAACCCAGTTTATAAATTTATATGGTAGACAGGATTCTTCTGGATCCCTGGCAGAGATCTTTGGATCTTTTCTTGTTGCATAGGCTCTTGTTTCTTTGCAGCTTTTCTTGTATGCATCCTCTCTGTCAGAGCCTGCATGTACTAAAGAAAATGCCACTGAAATCAATGCAAAGAGAAGGTCTACTCTAGATGAAGGTTTGCAGGTTTAATTTATGCCCTGCAAGTCTCTGTGTAGACAGGGTATTAGAATGAAAGCTCTTCAGGGCAGCAATTATGTCTTCTGTGCACAGTGCCAGGTATATTGATGGTGTCAATGACCTTAATTACTCTATAGTATTCCCTTTGGACTGTGCCAGTGCCACTCCTAAATCAGCTGTAGAGGTTGCTGAATAGTCACTTTTTTCCCTTCCTGGATTCTCAGTGTACTGCCTGTACTATATTCACAGGACTCCTCTGTAGCAGCACAGAGAAATGCTAAGAAAAAGAGTTTCATGTAGACAGAACCATAGTCTTGATAAATTTCTCTCTTTTTGTTTAAAAAGAACCAGAATCAGACACATGAAACATCTCCAAAGGTACCCTTGAATAAGAATATAAGGAAAAAGCTGTATTCCAAGGCAAGTAAAATGTTATGAAGAACAACCACACTAGTTTGTGTGTTTTCTGTTTCTTTGTGGGCATTATTTGGAGCAGAACAGAAGTAACAGAGTAAGCTACAGGGAAAATAACAAAAATTAAGGGGCTTTTATTTTGCAATAAAGTAATAGCAGTGCTCAAACAACCTTTCTGCCTCCTCAGACAACAACCAATAAACCCAAGTATTGCTGACCCAGCTGGAACAATGAGTTCCAGAACAAAGTACCACCACCTGGAATTCTAAGTAAATAAAAATCCCTGCTCCTTCCTCCCACCCTCCAAATGCCAAACCTCTTGGACAAATCACAAGGGAGCCATGAGAACAATTAATACGTGGTCAGACAGTAATGACTTCAGGGACCATGGTCAGCCACACCCAAATCTCTTCCCAACCTGGTGCTTTGATATCCTCACAGTTTTATTCAGAGTACACTTCCATTAACTCCCTGTCATCTAACTTGCAATCAGTTGGCCAGGGTATAGGAAAATGTGCCATCTGGGACTGATGAAAATGAGACCAAGAGCTGCATGTCCTCTGCATATCAGTGGCATTGTAACTCAAATGAGCTTTCTCCTTGTGGCGTTTCATACGCATTTGACAGAAAAGGAGATAAAATAAATATCTGTGGCAACTCTTACAAAAGAGCCCTCTGGAAAAATGAACAGTCTCTCCAAAATATACTCAGGGATCCACTGGACAAAAAAAGGACTGGAACTGCTCAAATTTTGCCCTCGGAAATTCTCAGGTTGTAAGCTTAGAAGGTGCTCAAAATCATCCTCTCCTGCTCATCTTGTGGGATCTGACTCATTTACATATTTTCTTACCTGTGTACATAGTTTTCTACCTATGTGCTGTTTCAGTGACTTACAGTCATTGCATAATTTAACTTTAAATTTAAATTTTTCCTATGAGATTATAAAAAGACTAAAATTTATGTCAGTTAAAAATATTGAAAGTGAACAAAGGTGCTTTAGTTTGAAATACATAGGGTTTAAGTCTCCTTACTAGCACCAGTTTAATTCTGAGTGCTTCCACAGAGGTACATGTATTCTATACAGTGTAAAAGATCACAGTGTGATTCTGTTTATATCAAGTGGAGTGCCCCAGGGGTCAGTCCTGTGGCCAGTTTTGTTCAATGTCTTTATCAACGACCTGAAAGATGGCATAGAGTGCACCCTCAGCAAGTTTGCAAATGACACCAAGCTGGTGGGGAGTAGTAGATACACTGGAGGGTAGTGACATAGATAAATTGGAGGATTGGACCAAAAGGAATCTCATGAGATTCAACAAGGACAAGTGCAAAGTCCTGCTCTTAGGACAGAGGAATCCCATGTACCAGTACAGGCTGGGCAGCAGCTCTGCAGAAAAGGACTTGGGGGTTACAGTGGACAATAAGCTGAATATGAGCCAACACTCTGCCCTTGTTGCCAAAAAGGCTAACGGCATACTGGGCTGCACTGGTAAGTGTATTGCCAGTAGGTCAAGGGATGTAATTATTCCCCTCTATATTCAACACTGGTGAGGCCACGTCTGGAGTACTGTGTTTAGTTTTGGGCCCCCCACTATAGAAAGGATGTGGACAAATTGTAGAGTCCAGCAGAGGGCAACAGAAATGGTTTGGGGGTTAGGGGATATGACTTATGAGGAAAGACTGAGAGAACTGGGCTTATTTCATCTAGAGAAGAGGAGACTGAGGGGAGACTTAATAGCAGTCTTCAGCTACCTGAAGGGGGATTCAAAAGCAGATGGAGCTAGACTGTTTTCAGTGGTAGCAGATGACAAAACAAGGAGCAATGGTTTCAAGTTGCAGCAAGAGAAGTTTAGGTTAGATATTAGGAAGAATTTTCTCACTAGGAGGGTAGTAAAACACTGGAACAGGTTACCCAGAGAGGTAGTGGAAGATCCATTTTGGGGGGGTTTCAAAACCTGGCTTGACAAAGCTTTGGTTGGGATGATCTAGGCTGGTCCATGCTTTGAGCAAGGGGGTAGACTAGATGACCTTCTGGGGTCCCTTCCAAACCTAACTTTCTAGGATTCTATATCAAACTGATTCTGTGTATAATTTTAAAAATTATGAATACATCAACTTAGGTATCCAAGATCCAAATTGCATGCCACCAACATTTAAAAAGAATGGTATCCTTAAGTGATGTAATTGACCAGAGGGAATCTGAATATGAAGTTTGTTTGCTTGTTTACATACAAAATTTTCTTATATCTTAACTAATACAATATTAATGATATCAGAAAAGCCACATCATAAAAACGTTAACAAGCTTAACACATTTGTAGGGCACCAGGATAATAGTGGGTGTCATATGAGGATTTCACCTCCTGTAGTATACATGTGAGCATTACACATCTGTATTTAAAATAGGAGTCCTGATTGGCTTCATCCTTTTTTATTTCTGTCCATCATGACTCATTCATTCATTCCATTTCTGTCTAATATTTGCCCGCTGTTTTATCATAGTTCCTTGGCTTGCACCTAATGCACCTTGGATTCCTAGGTGGTCTACCATCCAAATCCTGGCTGTGCTTAGTTTTCAAGATCACATGCATTCAATCCACTCCAGACATAGGCTCTCTTCTAAAGTAGCTTCACTGTTTTTTGAGAGCTGCACCACTTTTACACTAGGCACACTGGTTGGAGAAGATAATCAACCCCACCCTCTCTGAAAGGTAATGTACCCTCCAAAATATACGGGGGTTTTTGCCATCACTGATGGTATAACACACAGCTCAGTTTTGGTTCCATATAGAAATTACTAGGTGAAATGTTATGAGTCATGCTATACATGAAGTCAGACTCACTAGATAAAGGTGGCCTCTTTTCTCTGTAAAATCTCTCTGCCTTCTGCCTGATTGTGTTTTCATCACAACTCGGTTGTTTTGTGCAACTGTTCCTCAGCTCTGGACCTCCCTCTGTCTTCAGGTCTTCCAGAGGCCAAGCCTGAATATCTTTTGGAAGTGCTGCATGACTTTCCTATTTGGGCTGGCATTTACTAAACAAAACTAGGATAAGATGTTGTTCGGAGGGTGTCTGTTTTATCCTAGATCCCTTTTAAGTTGTTTTGGTCTTTATGTTACTCACCTGTTTCTAAGTTATCGTTTGCTTATTTTAAGGTGCCTTGAGCCTTTGTTGGAAAGGGTGGTATATAAAATTAAATAAATAATTCGTGTCGGGGAAAACAGACTGCCAGACTCCAGTCACATCACATATGCCTCTGCATAGTTAATAAAGATTATAGTAGCAAATGAAGGAAGAACTTAATTTTAAGTTAACCAGTGTGTTTATTGTCTCTCCTATGTCTGTCTCATGTTTTAAATTCTGAATAATTTTTGTGGATTTTTTTAACCTTTAAACTTAGTTTTCAATGTACAACAATCTCTTGTGCTTGCTAGGCCTGATTCTGATTTCATTCCTGTGGGGCTAGCGTTGACATCTCAGGCAATGTGTGTGTGGTGCTATGGTGAATTTTTGCATCTTGGACTCCAGTCTTCTCTGTAGATTGGACCTGTCTACAACAGAAATTAGAGCAGCCTTGTGACTAATTGTACTTAGGCAGCACAACTCTGGCTGTTTGTCTAGAATACAGACTTGTCTGGGCATCTCCCTCTCAACTCTGCTCCCTAAACATTCTTAAAAAGAGCAAAAAGCTGTATAGAGTGCTTTTTAAGGAAAATTTACCTCAAGGGTTAATTCAGGGCCCATTTACAACTGATACAGTAACATAACGATCCTTCACAAGTGCAGGAACTGGCCATTGCCTTTAGCTCTGGTTTTCATCATCATGAGTAAAATCAGAATCAGACCCGCTGCAAAAGGGATTTTCTAGACCTGAGAGAGTCGCCAAGGTACTTTTAAGAATGGATTTGCATAGACAGTTTTACAAATCAAAATACATTTTATAGCAGAGATGAATATTCAAGTAATATTTGAAAATGCTTTACAGAAATATGTAATAGTATCATGGTTCAAAGTTAAAATAAGGAAGATAGGAAAAGAGAAAAGCCATATTTTCAGATGAGATTAAAAATTTTGTGGAGTGCAGGTGAGATGGGCAGGTCCTAAAAATAGTGTTCCAGGTGGCAAGGGTTACAGAGATGTTTTTTCCCCACTTAAATTGGTGAAATAATGGGATAAGACCCAGTGGGTACTGATGCTAAACAAGAAGGAAGATGAGAAGGAAAGAAAAAAGATGGGTTTGGTCTATGGAGCATGCTAAATCCAGAAGACTTCTTTGGAAACAGTCGTGGTTCAATGATCTATACTGACCTTGCTTACCTCATCTCTTGTTGACAGTAATTGGCATTCCATCAGTGCTAGTTATGGATGGGGGGCTATAACTGGCCCTCAGAAATGAACCTTCATGATTTCTGTAGATAAAACATGTATATTTGTAATATACACTTACATTGTCTCTTATTTAATTCTTACCATGCTGCATACCTGCAAGCATTGTGAGTAAAGCTGCTTTTTAGAATGGTTCTGTATCATTTAAGTGTTTCTGGAATTTGAAATAACTGAGTAGTTAATTTATATATCTGTGCTATTTTTTTAAACAGAAACAAAAATGTCTGGTGACACAAGTGATGCAGTACCCACCAAAGGAAAACCTGAAGTAATAGAAATGCCTAGTAGTGATGTGTTGCCTGATGATGAAGCACTACGTCATGAAGTGACTGGGATACTGCATGGGTCTTCACAAGACGGAGAGAAACAATCTTTCCATAATACCACTAATGGACAGGAAGGAGACCCAACTATCACTGAGCATCCTTTGACTGAGGAAGTGAAAAATCAACCTTCTAACACAGAAGTGACTGAGAATGTAGCCGCTGACTGTAGCGAATCCGTGAGCCTTGATCCTGAACTTGAATCTGAAGTGACACCAAGTGAACAAAGTAATCCAGTAAGTGACTCTTCAAAAACATCTGTTCTGAAGATAA